TAGCAAATTGGAAAATTTCCAGAAAAATCTAGTAAGGAAAATTGAAAATATAAACTTTAAATTGATTAATGCCAACAATTCGGTAGAATTCATACAATACTGCATAAAATATGATCTTCCAACACACATGTATATGTATTTATATATATATATATATATATATATATATATATATATATATATATATATATATATATATGCAAAGTAATTTTATTATAAACAGCACAAATATATAGGACGTATTTAGTATGTAGAACACGTTTGTTCATTTCGAAGCCAACGCATCGGCCCGCCTGTTGACGATCACGGATAGAAGAAGCACATGCATGAGATTTCGTAACATATGTTGTACTTGCAAACAGACGCATAAAATACACTGCATCGAGCGTTCGTAAATATTGTTGATAGCAACAATATTTTAAAAACTTTTAATTTTTGTTGTTTGTATACAGGTATATTCTAAATCGCACTTGTTCTTAAATTGGCATGTATTTTTATACAAACATAAATTAACTAACAATTTTACAATTTTTAAATTGTTTAACATTGAACTATTTAGTTATAAAGAAATAATCTTAGTTTGCAGGAATAAACATATGTTTGGTGCAGTGACTAGTTTTCAACGTATAGTGACTCTATCAACTAAGGTAATAAATAATTTTTAAAAATATATATAAATTAAACTCGTCTACAAACTTATTGAGATTTTTCTTGGTTTCAAGTGAACGATGTGCGCGTGTATAATATTATAAGAATATGATATTATAAGTAAATGATTTAATATAAAAACTCCGTTTATAAATGATGGTTTATTTAATGTTTTTTAATTAAAATAATGAATCAATTTTGTTTACGTACAAGCATTGCTGTTCCAAATCTCAGCAATAACCCCACGGTTTGCATAGGTGACTGTGCGTGTCACCCCGACAATTGGCTCTCTTATCCCAAATGATTGGGAGCACATTGAATAGACTCTATTGACTCATCATAGACTCCATAATGATTTTCTTTCAGCTGTTTGGGGCAACGTTGCTTTTATATTTAAAATGAAATTAATGTGACTACATTTTATGAAAAATATTTAAAATTCATAATTTGATAAATTCTTGCTTCAAACGATTTTTAATTTGCAATATAATTATACTGCCAATATTTTTGTCAAATTTTTCATTTAGTGTTAAAAATGTTAATAGTTTGCAAATATATCAAATAAATATAAATATGATTTTTCAGATTCACAGAGAAGTCGAATTACACCAACGTGAACAATATTTTGAAGTTTAATTTCGTGGTTTAATTACATTTGATTTTTAAAATGCATATTGAGCTGTCCATCGCGATGAACTTTTTGATGTCGTATTTATACAACAAGTTACCAAGAAGGAGAATCGAAGTTTTTTCAGAAGAACTAAAAAAAGGTTTAAAATTTGTGTACCCATTGTTCACCAAGGTTTTGTGTAAATTCATAACTAATGCTATTATACTTTTGAAAACAGGTCTTTTGACTAAATTTCAAGATCACTGGTACCCTGAAGACTCATTTAAAGGATCAGGATTTCGCAGCATTAGAATAATCGAAGGAAAACTTGATCCTACATTTAAATTGGCAAGTCAGTCAAGTGGTTTGCCGCTAGATGAAATATTGGAACAACTTCCAAAAGGTTTGACTATCTGGATTGACCCGGATGAAGTCTCTTACAGAATTGGTGAAACGGGACAAGTGATGATTCTCTATTACAACAGCAAAAGAAATTTAAAAGCAATTGATCATGTATTAGAAGATAAGTGTGCTGTAAAATTTCAAGATAGTTTAAATAAAGACAATCAGCCAATTCTTTTTTTAAATGGGCTCACCGCAAGATCAGAATCTTATCCCATAAATACGTTGAACAATTCTATTGGAGGATTCAGTAAATTAGATCAAGATTTTGCACATAATTTAGAAAAATTAAAAATTGATTCGCCTCCTGGCGGATTCAATTTTCCGTATCTGCAAAATTTTTCATCAGTTCTGCCAAACGTTGTATGAAATCTTTTGTATGATGGTTTTTTTAAATTAAATTAATTTTTTTATTAAATTTTTGCAGATAAATATTCAAAATGGACCTAACTTACTGGGAGTATCAAAGCCAAACATTAATCAAACATGTTTCACCGCTGCTGCTTTTGCACAAACCAAATTTGGTTCAACCAAAATGAAAACTCATTCGAATCATCAAACCAGACCAACAAAACTTTTCTCACCACCGCCTACAGATCTACACAATCATTTGAATTTAGCTGCTCAGCTCAACGTTTTCAATGCTAGATCACCTGGTTCGTTTATTCCTTCAGGACTCCACTCGCAGTTTTTTGAACCGTGGTCATCATTCAATCAGACGTCAGCTCCGTCTTCATCTTTAACAAGTCCTTCTACTGATACGGTGCCAACGGCTAACAACCCATGTTTTACAAATTTATTAAATCAATCTAACGAAATTGAATATTTTGAAGAACGAAGATTTCATAATGCAAACCAGCAGCATTTATTTGAAGGGATACCAAATAGTATAATAACAAAAAACAAATCAAACATCAATTATGAAACAAATAAAATGCCATTATTATGTTCTCCAGGCAGTAAAATTATTTCATCAACTTTAGAAACTAATGTTGAAATATTGACAGATCCAAAAACAGCGGTGAACGTTTTGTGTACATCTAACAAGGAGACTTCCTATGAAATTCAACATTTGAATAAAAATACACAATTGAATGATAACTTTGTACAGTCAACAACTTTACCATCATCTATGATGGCAAAGTCGTCATCATCCGATGCCAACGCAAGAGAATGGAACAATTACATATCAACATTACCCAACTTAAAACAACTTTTGGTTGCTAACTAATTGAATAAATGAAAATTTCCACGATGTTATCGGAATAATTATTTTGTTTGTCATAAAAACAAGTTTGCATGCAAATACCGTGCAAACATTCAATAATTGTACAGCACGACATCATCAAAAACAAAAATGTCAAAGTCCAACAAACTACTATGGTTATCATTACATATAATTAGACAACAAGTTGTCATTTTAAAACTTAGAATTCAAACAACTTGTATTCTAATTATACTCTTATGCTGAACACAGATGGATATAAGCGCATAAACACGTCAAACCATAAAAAACATTGAAGCGTTGCACATACACACAGGCACATATACATGTATACAGACGTATACACATATTCAGACACATGAACATATTTTATATATTTATTTGTTAATACGCATACATATATATATATATATATATATATATATATATATATATATATTAATAAAATATGTTCTTACATATATATGTCAATAAAAATGAAACTGTTTTTACATTTATTTATTTGGGATTCAAACATTTGTTTATATCTGCATTTGTATGCTGGAGATTTGATTTAACTAATGAATCATGTTAAATTCTTCTTTATTTGTTTCAGCGAATTTGTCGAAATTACCGAATATGGTAAATTGGTTAAAATGTAATTTCAAAAACATTAAATGTGAAATAGATTTGATTTAACATAAATAATTCAGAATCGAACTTGTC